GTGCTTTTAATCCTTTTTGTGTTTATCTTTCAGTTAATTGACATTTAGGTAACAATGATGACTTTGGATAGGATATGATGCAATGCATGCATGTTAAGGCTTTATTTGGGTGAATGGAAGAAGGGCTTAAAGACAAACACATTATGGCTACAACCCCTTTCCAGCCCAATTTCGTAGGTCAACTTCTTGGCCTTGGATCAGCATGCTATGGGGCTCGAATGAGGTGAAGATCTTCATGACACTTGTTCCAATGGGTGTCTACTACAACATATCAAAATTGCAGCCCAATTGGACATTTGTGGAGTGCTCAGCCCGTCCAACACCCAACCTTGCTCAGCAAGATTTACAGCTGCCAGCTTTGTCATGTGCCTCCATGTGCCTCACCCACGCTGCAACTGACTTTGGATCTCCTTTCCAGCCCAATTTCGTAGGTCAGCTTCTTGGCCTTGGATCAGCATGCTATGGGGCTCGAATGAGGTGAAGATCTTCATGAAACTTGTTCCAATGGGTGTCTAGTATAACATATCCACATTTGAGCACCATTGGATACGTTTTGAAACCTCTGACCTTCCTACACCAAGGCTGGTTCAGAAAACTCGTTTTTCAGCAACCAAAAGTCAACCACATGGGTTGGCAACCAAAAGGCAACCACATGGGTTGGCGGCAAAGGCAGCCACAACTGATCACCTTTGAACCCATGTGAAGAAAGCTTGAGGTGCAGTAGCAAAAGATGAAGGATGGTGTGGGAATTCATCATGATGTTCCTCCCTTTTAGCCCTATAAATAGAGAAGCCTTCAAGCTTCAAAACACACCCCAAGGTGGGGAGCTCTCAAACACTTCTCTAGAGCTCCCTTCTCTTCTCTCCCTCAAATTCTCTTAGTTTCCTTTCTAGTTTTCAATTGTTGTAATGAAATTCTGAAATTCTGATTAAGTTTTTCTTAGTTTCACTTTACTTTTCATTGTAATGTACATTCTTTCTTAAGTTTCAAGTTTAATTAGTTTCCAAGTTTCAATTATGGTTTTTGTTCTTATTCATTATGCTTATAAGTTAATATGCTAGTTTGAATGATTGATCACCATTTAGGTTTGCATGTTAGCTATCTTGGTTTGAATTAAGAGTAGACGCCATGCTTTAATTCGAATTGAACTATGAATAAGAAGAGTATGTATGGACATTCGACAACAGGGATTAGATACATGCTTGGTTGTTTAAATTGTTCTTCTATGCTTAATGGGTTCCTAATGCTTAGTTTTAGGTTAGACAACAAATGATCAAATTAGGGAATTAGGAACACAAGGTTTTGACCAAACACCATGGCTTAATCATACTTTAGCTAGAATCAATCCGTTAATCTAATTGAACTTGGGAACTTATTTGCTTGAGTTATTTCTTTTTTTTCTTGTTTTATTTATTTCCTTTTTCATTTCTATTTTGTGTAGGGGAAACAAATTGGATCATTCAATCACCAATCCTCGTGGGATCGACCTCGCACTTACATATGCTATACTACCAAACGGCTCGTGCACTTGCGAGTATCACAAGTTGAGGATGCAGCTGAATCTATTTTGGTGCAGCTGAATCGAAGCAACAAAAGCCCTAAAGGTTTTCAGCTAGTTTATCTGCAACTCATGTATCGTACTTTTAGTTGTGACCATGAAAGAATGTACTAGGTTGTATGAGAATAAAACTTAAAATTCAGTATTTCTATTTGAATCAATATTGGATATGCTGGTGCTAGCCTTTTGTGAATTTATGCCCTTTTTTTTTTCTTTCTGACGGAATTGGGAAACACATGACACTAAATGAAAGCACGTGGACACGTTGACCCCAGGAGCGGAGCCACACTGAGACCAGTGTGGTCCCGGGCCCCCACTCAAGTGTTTTTATATTTTAAAAGTAATATATTGTTATGTATTTCTAAATGTATATTATTTCAAATACTTTACGTTTTGATATGTACCCACATGTGTTGTGGCGGATCTATTAAGGCACAAGGAGGTACTTCCAATTGCCCTTTTGCTCAGCTGGTGGTGGTGTCCAGGTGCACTCCTTATTTCCATTTTCACCATTTAAGGAAATGTCTTTGTCCTTTTACTTTCATTTATTTTTATATTACTCCATTTACTTAAGTTTAAATAAAAATACTAGAAAATCAAATTCCCACCAAATCAAAATATGAAAAATCAGTTTTAGTGCAAAATACGATTTAGGTAACAAATGATTGCTCATTAAGTCAATATATACTTCATACTAAAATCCCATAAAATCAAGTCTTCTTATTTGATGTGTAAGGAATAAAAGCCGCCAAAAATTATCTTGATTGAATGATTATTCGGAAAAACCATTTTTCATACTTAGTCGATATTTTTACATAAAATATTTTTTCATGTATGATATGAATGCATGAAGGGACCTAAGAGCATCTCCAACCGATGTGTCAAAAGTTTCACATAGACATTTAACGGCTAGAAATAACATCTCACATCACTCCAACCGATGTGTCAAAGCTTATATGGAATGAAGGCTGAAGGTTGAGATGTTATTTTTGACATTCCAAAAGCAAGATGTCAAATGAATATTTTATTATTTTTTCTTTTCTTTTCTTTTTAATTAAAAATAAATCAACACTAAAATGTAATAAAATAATAATTTAATTTGACATATCGAGTGGAGTGTAAAGCTGTGTAAGATGTCAAATTGCCACATCAACCATCAAATTTAAATTTGATGTTTGGTATTTGACATCTCCCTTGGAGATGCTCTAAGGTTTTTTTTTAGTTTGTGAAATTTTTATTTTTTTCTTTCTATTGGGTTTAATGGGGGAAAAAGCTTTAAAGATATTTGCTAAATCGCTACTTTTTGTCTATCTCTTGCAATTTTTGTTGCTAAGAATGTATTTGTCTATCTCTTTGTCGAGGAAAATTATAATTGCGACCAATAAGCAATATAATTCTTGACATATGTGATATATATACTATTTTCGTATGTATTGTGAGTTCAAATTTTTGATTCTTTATAATTTATAAGAGGCCTCCAAACACATGAAATTCTGGCTTCGCCACTGATTGACCCAGTTGCATTTTCAGTGAGAAATTGATATTTGAGCCAAAGTAGAGGTAGCAAAACAATAAAATAAACCATTTTATATTATTCTTTTTCTAAACAAAGTGATCTAATTCACGCAATTCGATTAGAGATGTGGTTAGTAATGTGGTCAACCAAGAATGAATTAAATGCGAAAGCCACAGCCACTAGTCATAAGCAACAAGTTGATAGAGAGCTTGGATTGAACGACACAAATGAAAGTTGATGGAGAACGATGAGAGAAGTGCCTTGGCCATTACGGCTAAAGACTACATGGGGGTTGAGGCTGTTGTTTGCATGTTGTAGTAATTAAAGTGGTGTTTGGTCAATTAATATCTGGGGTTCAGTTTGATGTTTGTCGTTTGGCTGTAGATGGGGAAATATAATTGTCGTGTAGGCACCAGCCAATCGAAGTTGATTGTTGAACCTTGAGCATATCGTCTTTTGCGAACAAGTTTTTGATGACAAGATTCAGTAAGATTTGAGATTGTTCATTTTTTGGATCTTACAAATGAAATATGCCCTTTGTCTGCAATCAGACCCTACCACATATATGTATATGACATATAATTGAGGTGTTGAATCCCTGTTCTTCGATAAAAAAGCTTCTTGTGTTTATTTATAGGATATTGGCACGTACCTTTTTTATTTTTTGGGGTCGAAAAGATTGGTACGTGCTTGGTTGTGCAACCCACATGTAAATATCTCAATCCCAAAGCCTTTCACGTTCCAAGCCTTAGGTCATCCATGATGCATTCCTAAAATTCATACTCCACTGAAAATTTATAGTATGCTTACTTATTTGGACTAGTCGGGAGAAGTCGTGAATAAGTATGGGATCAACTACTCTTTATTATCAATCTAATTGATGATTGTATTAGATTACGAGTAAACTCATAGGAAGTCAAGAATTATAATAATTCTCATATTTATATATTAGTTCACGCATTAAAAATTAACTCTGGTTTGCAAGTTAATACTCTTTTTCACTAGTTTAGATCCCGTTGGCTCAATACTTATTTTATGTAAAGTAAACACGTCATTCATAACTCTAATACCCAACTCATACCCCATGGGTCTTACCTGTAACCACTTTCGAACTTGAATCTATGATTTTAAGTCTCTGATTTAAGATGGCATAAAATGACTAAATTGACCTCAGCCCAGCCTAAATTTGTGCACTGAACACCTAAAAAGGTCTACAAAAAATGCTTAAGGATTATTGAACATGCTTTACCAGATGGGCGTCAAATTGCCCAACAGGGAGGTCTCAGGTCCAGCAATTTATTGCCCACTTAGAAGGACCTGATCCACTGTGAATGATGCTTGGTTGGTTACTCAAACCAAAGCAAAGTCCTGATTATAAACGGAGGGGGTTCTTTTGGAGAAATACTTTCCTATCTCCGTTTTATTGTCTCCCATTCTCCATCTCTTCTTTTGATAGGTGATATGGGAAGAGAGATAGAAAGAATGAGGCAATGAAACGAAAATATGGAAAATTTTCTCTTTCCTTAACACCATGTTTTCATTTTCCTTGTCTTAAGAAGCATTTGGGGTAACAACCAAAAGAACTATAAGCAGGTCCCCCCCAATAACGTCTTCAACTAACAGATGGCCAAATCAAAGAGGGAAGCAAAATTGGAGAAACCAAAGGCTAAATATGGCCCATTTGGCCAGAAGCACCATGTGATGATGCAATACCCACGCCACATGTTCTATTAGGCATAGCCACATGTTCATGTAAACTAGTAATGTTACATCAAAGTGTGACAATGTATAGTATCTATGGGTTAAGGCAATATGCCCGTCGTATATTAAAATAGTTATCGCTTTTGTCAAAAAAGGTAACTGTTTTTAAAATAATTTGGTGGTGCAGAAAATTGGTCGAAAAAAGCATTCAAGCAAAAACCATAGGAACATTAGAGCTACCCAAAGCATAATTAGGATTCATGGTACGAAATTGAGCAAAGGGGACAACTATTTTTACAAGAGCGAGACACCAAGCACATCTCTGCCCTAAGACACTTACTTATTCATAGACCCAAGGGAAAAAGAAAAAAAAAAAACTTGACAAAATACACATTTTTCTTCACTTCTTATTCAACAACCCAGAATCCTGCATTCTAGAGATTGCCTTCTCAAACTGGCTCCACCTCTGCTCCAATGTCCCAATGTACCCAATTGACATCCTCACCAACCCAGGAGAGATCCCAGCCAGAGCCTTCTCCTCAGGATTCATCTCACTGCTGGTGCTGCTTCCAGAGCAGGACATTAGGGTTTCATAGTAGCCCAGGCTCACAGCCATGAACCCAAACTGGGTGCAGTTTTGCAGCAGGTTCATGAGCCTGTTGGCCTTCTCCTCTGTGCCCATATCCAGGCACAGAAGCCCACCAAACCCATAGTCTTTGTTTGCCATAGACTTGAGCAGCTCATGCTGTGGGTGGTCTTCAAGCCCTGGGTAAATTACTTTCAGGCCCATCTTCTTCATCCTCGTTGCATATACCATGGCCCTGTTGCAGTGCTCCTTCATCCTCAGGCCCAGATGGGGGATTCTCTCAGCCAGCTCAAATGCCACCTTGGCATTCATTGTGGGCCCAAGTAGCATCAGGGACCCTTGGTGCAGATCCATCATGGAGTTCACCAGGCTTGCTGGCCCACACACCACACCTGTGTACCAGTTTGATGGCATAATAATTTAGTAATTTGTTGCAAATAATAATAATAAAAGCATTAAATATAACATTAAATTGACAGTTACCCTAATGCTTTTTATTTTTCGTTCAATTTTGTTTATTTTTGTAAAAACATATCAGATGGAATCTTGCAGTACATACAAAAGAAAAGGGTAAAAAATCAAATCAAGGATCACGTAAAAGATTCTTGGAGTAGGAAGAATACAATTCATACTCGAACTCCTCCACTCCACCCATGCTAAGCCACGAAGTTGGGTGCAGATGGGAAAACGAAAACATACAAACACAGTCCTTAACAAAACACACAAACAAACATTTCAACTTTGTACCTGAAAAAAAAAACACAAGCAAACAAAACGAACAGAAACATATTGGCCTGATTGCTATAGAAGTGTTGCCAGAAAGAATCACGAGGGAAAAGAGCAACAGCCTCACATGAAACATGTCTCTTCCTCGAAAAAAGTAACCCCAAAACTTTTCTGTAACGATCTATTTCATCCCCATATTCCATCATCAATATATATATCAATTTCATACCACATTTACGAATCACAATCCATATCATATAAAACTAACACTAATTAGAACCACATTTACATAACACCGTACATGTATACACGTAATACAGATATGATCATCAATGTAGTATTATTAAGGTCACACTTTTTAAGCGAAAGAAAATTGTTAATGATGTGATTTGCTATGTGGTTGGAAAACATTAGTTGGAAGAAAAGAAAAAAAAAAGATTCGGAGAAAATATATTTGTTTACCTGCGATGATATCAGCACCGCCGCTAACAAACTTGGAAATGCTGTGGACAACCACGTCAGCTCCGAGCTTCACAGGAGAGAGAACCATGGGAGAGAAGGTGTTGTCGACGACAACCGTGACACCCTTCTCGTGCCCAATTCTGCTCAGCTCTGGTATGTTGGCCACCGTCAGAGTCGGGTTAGACATGCCCTCAAAATACAGAACCTTGGTCTTCCCAACCTCGATCGCATTCCTCACCATGTCCATGTCGTGTATGTCCACAAACGTCGTCGTTATGTTGCAGGCCCTGGGGAAGAAGTGGGTCAGGAGGGCGTGGGTCCCACCGTAGAGGGTCCTGGAGGCGACGATGTGGTCCCCGCTGCTGACGAGCTGGAGCAGGACGGAGGATATGGCGGACATCCCGGAGGACGTGCAGTAGGCGGCCTCGGTCCCTTCCAGGGCGGCCATCTGACGGCTGAGGTTGAGCACTGTCGGATTGAAGTGACGGCTGTAGATGAAGAAGTCCCGGTCGGCGCCGAGCTCGCCGGAGAACATTTTGCGGAGTGTCTCTGGCTCCATCACGGTGAAAGTGGCGGAAGCCTCAATGGACATGTTGACACCACCGTGCTCTCCAAACTCATGGCGAGCGCTGGCTAATGCGGCGGCCGGGTCTTCCCAGGCCGCGGCGGCAGCCGAGGACAACAACATGGACTTTTTGGCGCCTCAATGGACATGTTGACACCGCCGTGCTCTCCAAACTCATGGCGAGCGCTGGCTAATGCGGCGGCCGGGTCTTCCCAGGCCGCGGCGGCAGCCGAGGACAACAACATGGACTTTTTGGCGGCCACATAGTCGTCGTTGTCCATGTCATCGTGCTCTGCTCTCTTCTTGGAGGTGGTGTTGTTGGTGGGGAAAACAAAGCCCTGGGGTTTGGTGTCAGCCATGGTTTTGATTGGTGATCGGAATTTGGGTTTAGGAGGTGTTTGGCAGAAATTAAAAAGAGAAGAGGATGAAGGAGGAGGAGATTGTGGTTAGGTTTAGGGGATGTTATGGCAAGGTATCTTCTATATATAGAGCCTAGAAGGAGAGGGAGAGAGATGGAGGACAGTGAAATTGATGATTTGTTACTATAGATGGAACCATGGATGAAAGGTACAGTGAATCTGGTCAATTTTTTGTTTTCGAAGTGCCATGTAAAACCTCTTCTTTAACTGCTGTATAATTAGTATATGCGTTTTCTTTTCATTTTTTGAATTAAAGGGTGTCGTTATTTTGTTCAAAGTTTAAGAAAACAGACGTATAAGTCATGTAGGAATAAGGAGTTAGTGATTTTTCTTGTCCTAATTTGTGCGGGACAAAAAAAAAGTATAGGTGCGTGTATTAAGGATTAGGATATAGCAGGAGTGCTCAAGCGCTAATTACTCGTTAAGTAGGATTAGGAATATTGATTTACAGTTTATCCATACCGTTCATTGTTCATGTCATCATCACCTTTGTTACTTTAGTTTTATGACAAGCATATTAGTAACTTTTGATTGCCTCGTCGTGAATGGAGAGTAGAAAGAAAATGATGATGTTCGATTATGTTCTTTGTTTTTTGGCCCTACAAAATTTTGCAAAGTGGGTGTGGGATGATTAATCCAAGTGCAATCTACACGTTTTATTATTTATTATTTTGTCGGTCAGAATCTGCACGTTTGATTCTGGTCCTTATCATGGTAAACAGTGTACAAAACTGATGAGAAAACGATCTTATCTGAAAAGACAATATAAAAATATGTACAAGAAAAGTGAACCTAAAATAATAGTCGTTGTTGTTTTCTTTTTTATCGGTGATTTTCTTTTACTTTCGCTCCTCCTCTCCACATCTGTTAAAACCAGAATTATTGTTTACAGCAAATTAGAACCAGAAATGGTGGCCTTAACTCGTTTTAATTTTATCTAGCTTTCTAACATACATGATAGTGAGAAAATCCCGCCTTGATTCCTATGCAAACATAACCGTGAAGCTTATCTTCTCTCTATATGGGGAATTTCGTGGCCAAGAAATAAAAGTCAAAACTTTTCAAAGAGATACCAAGAAATAAGCTTTTTGATGTCCAAGCAAAAAAAGAAGAAGATTCAAATCCCAGATTGACAAGCGATTCTGGAAATTTCCAAGTAAGTGTGAACTTAATCATGTATATATGTGGTTCAGAAAAAAAAGGAGGACCCTGTCATCATGACCAAACCAACCCCAAAGAGGAAGCTAAGGCTTAAAAGAACTTGGCTCATAATTTGGATTCATACACTTATGTTTCTCTCTCTCTCTCTTCTTTTTGTTCTTCTGTTGTGCAAAGACGACTGGTCGTTATATTGCTTGTGACTCTTGAGCATGACATAAAGTTCAAAATTAAATCTCAAATACTTTAAACGCATGTCGTACGGACAATGATTTTCTTCCACGCACTATGAATATGAAAGCATGCATGGTCCCAAATATGGGATAAGGCACAAGTTTTTCACCCAAAATCTGCAAATTCTTTGTCTTTGTTTATTTGGTCAGACAACTCGTTTTCCAGTCGACTTGGAATGTTATCCACCTTTCTTTATTTCACTCAAAATTCTATCACCACCATAGTCACCACATATATAATATTAATATATAAGGTTTTTTTATTTAATAAATTTATAATGACATGGATTCTCTTCATGCATGTAATGAGAACCCGTTTTCTTATTATAAAAACCCTTAAAGAATTATAAAAAAAATGTTGTGATTAAATCCTCCAAAATTCTCATTAATATTCATGCATCATAATCTTGTCATCATTTTGTGTGCATATAAGAAAAATCCACCAGGTAGCAAACAACTAGGATTGCCACGCAGGCACGCACTATTTTTTGTTAATGCATTGTTGATGTGGCTACTTATCCACAAATTTCATTTCATAAAAAAAATGATGATCAACAAATGGAGACATTTTTATATGTTCCGGTACCATCTAATAAATATATAACATGTGGAATTATTGTCCAATTTACCGTAATTTTTTTTATGACATGTAGCAGGCTGTATTGGAAATATTTCATATGTCATCCGTCTATTTGATGATACACCGACCACATAGTGTACCCGAAATACCCAAAAATTATTCCAACAAGTGATAGCTAGGGAATTGACGATCCATATTCAAACAATATGGAAAAGTCAAGCTATGAACATAGACATGTTGAACAGTGGACATTCATTTCAAACAAAAAAGCTGAATTCCTTTTTCTTTTCTTTTTTTAATTTAAATTTTTGGAACAACTAAAACCTTACAAAGAAGATTCTCGAGCGATCTTTACATGAAACAAGACTTGGTAATGCAATGGATGTTCGAATAGAAACAAATGTAGATAAGATGGGTGAAGGGGATGGGACCTGATCACTTTGTCATCTCCAACTTTCTTAATGCTAATTAGCATCTTATCCGAAACATGGCGATATATTATTTGAAAGTACATCAAGTTAACAGAGAAGAAATGGACTACAAATTAAGACGTATCAATTTTGGTTCCATCTTTGGAGACTTGCGTTCGATGACGTGGGAAGAGTACGTGTACACTGAACAGATAGCACATGAGTTGTGGGTCCCATTGGCCCCATTCTTCCGCGCATTATTATACCCCACACAAAAATAAAAGGCTTCTTTATTTGAATAGGTCAAGATCTGTGACAAAATATTGGTCTTCATCAATCAGGACATCGACTTCATGTGCTCGGGTCCAGTTCTTTTGTCACATACCTTTTTCGTCCCTCAATATACCCCAACAATAAAATTTTGATTTTTTTTTTTTTAGTATAGGCGATAATTTAAACTAAGGGAGAAGAGTTTTCTCATATACACACAATTAAGATGCCGTGAGGTTCAAATCAACGACCTCGTCTTCAGCCTTCTTAAATTTCATTTTGAGGAGTTCTGATATACATGAGAAAAACATTTTGAGTTGTGATTTGTGAATAGTATTACCTTTGAGTTTGAGTTCATTTTGCCCAAATAATGAAGATAGAAAAATTGAATTGGTACTCTTTTTTGGGTTTGAAAGCTTAAGTTATGGAAATCGTCTAAATTCATCCCTACATGTACTGCCCTGAATTTGGTCCTTCTACCTTTCAAAGGGAAGATCATTATCAACTTAGCTACTGTTGGTCAATCTAAAAAACTAGAAATAATGTCTTAGAAAAAGAAATTACATTTGAGTTGTGGCTTTGCGTGTGCCCAACTTCATGGCCGGAAAGCTACAAGATTATCCATTAGATTGGATAATTTAATTATAGATATTATTATTATATACCAAAACAAAAATCATATTTAATAATTATATCAGAAAAGCAAGAGCAATGACGTAAGGGCTCACTACCAATAAATAAACCAATGAAAATCAAATCATCACATCATCACAAGTTCCAATAGCAACGGCACACCACCACACACAAAAAGCGACTTAGACAAAAAGCACCTAATGATTCTTTGGCATGTTGGGAACAAGACAAAGAGATTCCCAGCTTGTTTGACATTAAAAAAAATAAAGGTTAAAATGGAGCTAAATGGTAATCAAAAGCATGAATTTGGATAACATCATTTTCGTCTCTGTTGAAAACCATTGTGTTACAGAATGCAAAATGCCTTTCTTCCTTATATTCATAATTGTAAATAAAGAAAAATGCATTCTCTTTCTGCTGATGAAAGAATCATGCATAAGCACTGCATTAAGAAGGAAAGAATGCAACATCTTTATGTTGATGAAAGTTTCTGTCAAAACAATAAAACCATCCAAGGCATAATTGCCTGCTAAGCTGCAATGTACTTAAGAAAGTACAAGGAATCTAACGGTTCTTAGCTTATTTCTATTAAATTGATCAAGTACCATCACATTCTTAAGACTACAATGAGATAAAAGATGCAAGAAGATGTATTTAGCAAGAATGAATCTATCTCCAACTATACTTCCAATTGGTGCAAACCCTCCAAACGTCGTTGCTCACTTTCCGAGTTACTAGAGGAAAGGGCTCCAGATTTTCCTCTCTCCAGATGCTGAAGGAAATCCATGACAACTGGATCAGTCCAAGGAGCTCCGAATGGAGCTTCAGGACCTGCAACCCACCCTAGATGGCCACCTTTGGGTGTCACTATCAACATACAGTTTGGATTGTCCTGAAACAACAGCAAGGGATATACTATATTAAAGTTCCGATGGGATAGGAGAACACAAGAAATATGTTCAAGAAACATCCTTCAAACGAGAGGGAACCACAAGGTTAGCTCAATGGTTGACTCATTCGATGCTCCTTCATCCTCCTATAAATTCCAAGCACATGGGGTCCTTTAAAGTATTTTGTGGAGCCTTTTACGGGACATTCCTGTTCATTTCATTTAGTATATGTCCAGTCTGGAACAGTCCCTCCATGGTTATTCTTCCCCAAAACAAATGTTGTTTTACTTTCATTGAATCAGATGTGATTACATGGAGGGAGAAAGAGAATGAAGCAAACTCAAATTAATTTGGAAATAAATCCATTATTTTGTTATTTTAAATGAGTAAACTCTACACACCGACATAAATTCCCTAATCTTGACACCAACTGATAGGGTAGTGTTTTAGTGGTTTATACTTGGTCCTGCTTACTTTTATCATGTGACTCTCATCTGTCGCATTAGTTAGCATTCAAAATTTGGGACTCATGTTCAATTAGATTGGAAAAATCAAATTAAACACTCAGGTTGAACATAAATTAAGGAATGGTATCTAGCTCAGGGGACTCCACAAACCTTGATATCTTCACGAGGAATTCCCCTGTTCGGAGCAATTGGATCATTTCCCGCCTGAAAACAATTAAGAATAATAAGTCTAAGCAAACTTTTGAGATTCACTAAATATGAACACTATTTTTTATATAGAAAGGGCATGCATGTAAAAGGATGGATGAGGTCAATCACGAGGAAGGAAAGAAGTGATTTTTTTTCCTCTTCTTGTTTGGCAAAAGAGGAGTGAAGGAAAGAAAATATATAGCTGTGTATAACAACTATACGATTCATAACGTGTGATTAATATGCTCATCTTTCCCTCCACCAATTCGTCCATTTTTATAGGGATAGATTATGCTGGATCTAGGGGTTCCTGAGCCATCCATTGTTCCTTTCCACTCAAACAAGCCAACTCCAAGAATTGACAATCTCTCCCCCTTCCCTAATATCTTTCCATCTTTACTTCCCTTTCTCTTTTCTATAATTCCTACCAAGCATGGTATTGAAAAAGACAGAGGTGAACATATATGCCCAGGCTCTGTGTGTCTGATATATGCATACAACGGATCCCTTATCAATTCAACCATAAAAATAACAAAAAAGCATCCAGAACTTGCACAGTTCAACATCAGTAATGTCTATTAAATCAAATGAAATGTTGTGGAGATAGATTACCTGAATGCAAAGCAATGGTATGCAGACATCCTTTATGGAATTGGAACTACTGGAATTAGAGTAGTAGTCATCTACGGACTTGAAACCAAATGAAACTGCAAGTTTTCACCAAAGAAGGTGTTCTCAGAAGATGAATGTCATGGTATAACATCCAAAATAAAAAAGGTTTCTTGAACACAAAGTACATACCACGAGTTAGTCCATCATCAAACTCCCTGACAGACTTAGCATTGGCAGCCAATGGAATGTTAAAATCACCACCCATGTCTTCGAAGAGTAGAGCATGCCTACAATGTAGGGTCAGAAAATTGGGTTATCAACCTCGAGCTGGAATAACAGTTGAGAGCATAAATCAATTTTCCATGGGATTACTTCTTGAAAATTTTGGAGAGAGCACTTGCAAGAGCTTTGTCATAAATGATATTAAAGCCCTTACGGAAATCCTCGTCTGCAATGACCAAATTGAAAGGATTACACAACGACACAGCACCAGAAAGACGGCATGCATGAGATTCCTGCAAGTACCACATGATTGAAATATAAATGAAATTAAATTGGAGGAGAAAAGGCTAAAGTAAATTTCAGTGCAAAGGCTAGGCCCCGGTATTTCTTGTGTTTATCATTAACCTCCAGAAACATTCAACGTCATAGGAACTCTAATCCATGCACAAATAAGACTGAAAAGAACTCTGTATTTGCATCCCAAGTCCAGACAGAGTGGTTGACTAAATACATGTACAGTATTCCACCCTTTTAATGGCCCCACTAAATCAATAATTTTTTTTTATTTTCTGCTAAACAAAATTTTTTGAGTTCCTATTTTTCCTAGCAGAAACAGCATTGGGCCTAAATACATTGATGAATTGAGTTGAGCAAAAAAAAAACACACAGCTTGTTACAACAAGATAGATTGCTAAACTTACTACATTGTTAAAGCTAACCAGTGCATTACAGCACATATGCAACACAAGTAAGCATGAGCCAGACGAACTAAGCAATTCTAGTGCAAGTCAACGATCCGACGAACAGAAATCTCAAAAGCAATTGGTCAATCACAAAGTATACCTGACCCAAATACCGAACGAGAATGTTGGCACCAAGAGACCAACCAACAGCATACAGATTAGCTTTCGGATACCGATTACCAACATGGGCCACTACTTCACACATGTCTCCTAAAAATGAAGCTGAATAGAACTGCATATCAGCGTCATAAAATAACTAATCACAAAGCTGGCTTAAGGCACATCAAAAAGTTCAAATCTTCAACATAAAGCTCCCCATTAAGGAAAAAAGTAATTGCAACTTAAGAACAACAAATCCATTACAAGTATCAATGTTAACAAATTGTACACCCTGCCAGGAATTTTTTTTGAACTTGTATCACAGTTAAACAAAAACAAGCAAGAATTGGGTTCAATTAGTTAGCACAAGTGTGAACACAGAAAATTGATTTGGCCAAAGTGAGAGTACCTGAGGAGTTGTTACAGGGCTACCACCACAACCACGGCTATTGAACACCACAACCCGCCACCCTTTACTTCTGGCTCGAACCAACATGTGCCTCACATACGAGTCATCACTCCCTCCAGTTAAACCTGGCTGCAACACCATCCATTACCCAAAAAAAAAACCTCAATTTTTAACTCAAAAGTTTTCTGCTTTTTGCCTTTTCGTTATTTTCCCGGGAAACAAACAGGACATAAAGGAAAAGAATGTAAGAACGAACCAGGAGAATGAGGAGGGGGGAGTCGGGAGGCAAGAGGCGGTCGTCACCGGAGACCCAATCGAGCGAAACGGCGCCGTCGTCTCTCGTTCGGAGGCACTCGCGGCGGAGCCTGACGTCGGGAGTCGACCTATAGAACGAGGCGAATATGGTCTCCACGTGGCGGTTCGACCCGATTACGGGAAACGGGTTGTAGGGAAGGGTCAGTGAGCTGAGGACGGGAAGGAAGAGGTCTCGCGCGCCGCCGAGGGTTTCGAGGGACGGGTGAGCCATCGGGTCGGCGGCTGAGCTGACGTGGAATGCGGATGTGGCGGCGAGGCGAGTGTAGTTGTGTAGGTGAGACACGTGGCGGAAGTAGGAAAGAGGTGGAGGAGAATAGCCCAAGGATGCTCTGGCCATTGGTTGGTTTGTTTTGTATATAGCGAATGGATAGCAGACGAGTGAGTTTTGGAAAGAGACTACGAAAAAAATGTATTTTTTTCTTTTTAGCAGACGAGTGAGAATTATAATTGTTATGGTTACAAATTTAAATATATCCCGAGTCTAGCCGGGCGGCTAGACTATTTTTTATAATAAAAAAATCGTAGTATAGCCGCCCGGCTAGACTCTTTTTAGAAAAAAGGACCGCGTGTCGCCAAGCGCCTCTTCATCACGTGTAAAAACAGTAGTATAGCCGCACGGCTATACGCTTTTTATTATAAAAAAACCCGAGTATAACCGCTCGGCTATACTAATTATAATTTTAAAAAAAGGACCATTTCCTGCGCCTAGCTCTTCCTATACTATTTTTTAATAAAAACCGTAGTATAGCCGGCGGGCTATACTCTTTAAGCATATTATATTTCATCGTAGTATAGCCGCTCGGCTATACGGGTTAAATATATTAAAATACAAAACTGTATCATTCCGAAGCTACGAATCAATATCAGATGTTGCAATCAAATAATAGTGGGAGAAGAAAAATCCGGTGAAATCAAAATGGCGCGAACATCGTCATCGAACACTGAACTCACTCTTAGAGGTCCCTGCTAAAGCCCCATGAGCCTATCACCCCCTCAAACACTGACCAGTGGCAAAGACATTCTCAAGAAATCTGAGCGAAAGAACAGATTCCTCTTCTCCTTCCCTGGCCTCCTTGCCCCCAGTGGAGGCGGTAAGATCCGTGCTTTCAAGGATTTGGGCACCAAGAACCCCGTCTTATACCTCGGTTTCCCTCAGGTCTACTACTTTCATCCTTGATCCTTTTCTAATTTTATTTTGCTTGTTTGGTTTCTTAGAAAAATTAAAATTTTGAAGTTTTCAGGGTCGGAGGAAGTTATTTGGGACTATTGTGTCCCTAGTGGTGGGAAGAGTGTCATTGCTGTGATAATATGATCAGCGCCTTTCTACAGTCTGTTTTCCGCATTGATTGTTAAGTTGCTCTTTCAAATATATTTGGGGTCGTGGAAAAATGCATATCTTACACCGTTTTGTTCATAGGCTTGGTTGATTAGCAGTGCACAACTCTAAACTATGATATAAATTTGAAGACAGGTTATTTTGATGCAATCTTTTGAATTCTTTTCTATTCTCTTTTGAGTATTATTAAGAGTGAATAGTTGTACGTCTGAATAAATTATATTTGCTACTTGTTTTTAACTGGTAACTGATAGAGAATGAGGCAAAACAACTGCAAAGCTGATATTTCGTGAAAACTTGTACTCTGAAAGTTGCATCTCATAAGGCAAAACAACTACGTGAAATTCATTCTTGTATCTTTTAGCATGTCTTCATTGTCTTCATACTAATTACCTTATGCTCCCAACTCTTCTCTCTTTGTTTGTTTTAATACTTTGTGTACATGATTTTCAAAGCTATTGTTTCATACAACTTCCACCTAGAATCTTCTTCTCGTTCTTCTTACAGAGTGTGGTACCCTTTCCAACGAATCCACATCTTTCATTTTGTTTGTCTGTGGTCGTGCTTGTTATATGAAACTGAGCTTCTCAAAGCATTTTTTACACATAGATATCAGCATTAGATTTTCATGTCCCAGATCGTATTTTCCGATGCTTGGTGGATTGGGACACAAGCTGAGAACCCTGAAGAAGCCCAACTTGATTTCCCTAAGGAACTTACTGAGGTTAGTTTCTGTTCATATAGGTCTGTCGTGTTGATAGAATGTACGTATCATTTTTTGATGATCCACTCTCTTGACTTTTGGTGGTTTCAGGGACAACACGCATAATATGACTTTAAAGGTGGTGCAGGTTCAACATCTGCAAACAAGCAAAGTGATCATAAAATGAAACTAAATATGTAGAAGAACATTCCCCAAATGTTAAGGTTGAAGATAACGTATCAGATGATGGAAACAAAAATTTGATGAGAGCAACACCTGTTCGACATCGAGCAAGAACTGCCGGAAAATGATTCAAGTAGTTACATTTTTGCTGCATTACCATATTTGCCTTTTCACACCTGTCTGATATACCTATGAGTAAGATATTTTTTACATTTGTGCTGCATTACCATTTTTGCCTTTTCAGACCTGTCTGATATACCTATGAGTAAGTAGTTTCATCCAAAAAAAAAAGGGAAAAAAATGGATGAAACATATTGCAAATAGTTACAAGTGGCACTGATGCCTAATGTCCATTCTGAACTCACTTATCGAAGACATGAATGCACTCATTGCTTTTCAGCAGATGAGTTGTGGAATGTCGTGTAGCTTCTACGGATATCACTAGTGCTAAGAATGGATATATAACTAAATACCTCTATTAAGTATGTAAACTATTAGACGATGATGTCCATGATATGCTTCTACGGATATCACTAGTGCTAAGAATGGATATATAACTAAATACCTCTATTAAGTATGTAAATTATTAGACGATGATGTCCATGATATGTTTTGGTACCTTTAGTTAGATTATCATAGATAATTAACCACTTTGATATATTTTCTTTTTGCTGAAGAATAATAATAGAAACGCCAGAAGGCACACACTTTCCTGTGATGTTGTCCGCACATGCTTTAGTGAACTCTCGTTTTGTCACCGATTAGTTGTAGATGATGTATCATGCTTAACTTTCCATTTATCTCTAACATTTTTGGTGGTTCAGTTTTGGAATGCTTCTTCTGGAGATGATTCTTTTGGAAGCGATACTCACTTAAGTGAAGGAGAATATGAAAATTTTGGGGGACTTGATTATGGGTGTATTCACATTTCTCTCATTCTCTCTCATCACATTGATGATTTGATATCAAACTCCACACATTTGACGGCTTTGAATACAAAATAACCTCCATGTTATATTTCTCCATTTTAATTTGCACTATGGTCGATTAATTCTCAAAATCCGCCTTGACTCCGCATGTGAGAAGCCATTCGACCTTACCGACCTATTACATCTTAGCATACGTGCAAAAAAATTATTCTTCAATGAGTTATTTCTAGATGTTGAATTGTAATTTGCAGGTTATAAGGAATAGCTAATGTTTTTCATGTCTTTTTCATGGAGAGTTAGAAATGAAAAGACATTCTTGTGTTACCAGCAAATGTTTTGAGGTGGGGATTTCCAATTGCAATTCACGCCAATTTAATTTCCTTGCTCCTTGAGTTTTATGTTGTTTTATTTGATTATTTTGTGCATTTAAAATACACATTGAAACTGTGATAATAAAGAAATCTTAGCATCATATAATATGTTACTGAATATGTAGTCCAGAGATGAACACAAACATAACATAAAAAAGAAAATTTTAAATTAAAATTAAGTACCCAATAAATGTTTATTTTTGCATAACCACCCCCAGATTGATTAGATTTTGACCACAAGAAACCTTTGCTTAATTATTCATTCACCTTCTCTAGATGCTTCTGCTTCTCCTCTTCAGTCATGAAAGCTGTGATTGGAAAAGACTTTCCAATCCCCATTGGGGTCTTGAAGACAATCTTCTTGCTTGCCGGGTCGTCAATGCTCATCTCAGAAATTGGGACCCAAAGAAAAACCTGCTTGCTCTTAATCCCGGTCATCTTCTTCATCTTCAACTTCTCCACATAACCAGTCACCTCAGTGGCATAGCTGACACGTGTATTGGACCCAACAAAGAAGTGCTCATAGGGCCGCTTTTGCTTCATCCACACAAACCCAGTTTCTCTCACCCTCCCACACTCCATAAGGTCTTGCAGGGGCAGGACACCTTTGGGAAACCCTAGCTCTTCCAGGAGGTCTATGGAGTGGCGGTTGCAATCTTCGGGGCCGTAAACAATCTCTGCACCAGCTCGCTTGTCTTCCAGCTGCTTGTTACTAGCCATTTTGAAGAAAATTTGGATGTTTCAGAGCTTTGGATGGAGGAGGAGGGCTAAAAGCTTTTGCAGGGATGTGTTGGTTGGGTTGAGTTATAATATATAATTAAGCTAAGAGGGTGTTAAGAGAGGAGGTCATTTAAGTGAGGGTCTAAAAGTTGTTGGGTGGAGGTTGAGCTGAAGGAGTTGGGTTGTTCACCAAAATGGGCAATGGGAATTTTGAGTACATGTCATTGTCTTGTGGTATGTATGTCCTCACCCTCACCTATTTCGTGTGTTATGGTTAATTGCTCACGACTTAGCTTTGTTTTGTTTGTGTTGTGTGAGTTAGCTTTAATCAAGGGTCTAGAAAGGAAAGGGATTCTGCAAACATGACTTTAATTAGCGTGTTGTATGATTGTACTGCTAGATTAAAGTTAATAAATTGGATACCAAACCCATACCCCACGGCTTTCCTACAACTCAAAAATAGTTTGTGTTCCTTTCTCGTTTCAGAAAGAAGTTTAATTACAAGATTCCGTGGTTGAGCGAGAGAGACGGTCGCCTGACCATACTTGCCGATCGACCGGCCGGCCGGCTGTTGTCTCTATCTAAAAACTGAAGGAGACTATAGTCGTTTGAGGCATTACATGTCAAACATTTACTAACCACGTTGTTGGACCTTTGTTTTTCAATAAACGGTTGGATGAACCAACTAAATGGTACAATTTCTATCTAACCATAATTCACTTGATTCCAAACAATCAACTAGTGTGACAGATATAGCTTTGACAATCACTTATATTGCTACACATTAGATCAACTAGTGTGACAGATATAACCATACAAACACGTCATTTCATTCTGCTGTATCAGCTGGCGTCTAGAAGTTCGTTGAGAGAACTTGCTTGGTAATGTATTGGGTATGTTTGAATGAATTTTGAACATAAATACGAAAATAGGTTAAATTCTGGCAATTGTATGACAGAGGGCTGAACTAAAGAGAATATATGTTGAAATCAGACTATTTGATTAAAGGCCGAATTGGACCTCTTTCTTTCTTTCTTTCTCAAACAGGCAATTAGGTGCCAAATGCGTTCACCTAACCACATTCAGTGCTGAAATTCAGGAAAAAGCTGAAGGTTCTATCTTATTCACTGGGCATGATGGAAGGCTTCTATTGTATGCCAGAATCTCTTCTCAACATAAAGTCATAACAACTGCGCGTATGACTAGTTACAAAAATACAGAGCTTTCTCAGTAATTACTAGTTACATATCCGTAAATCCAAAGACCAAAAACAAGATATCAACAGAAAATCCAGGCATTGATCAAAGACTTATTCCTAAAGAAAAGGAACGAATAGCCAACGGTTGTGAACAACCCAGGATGCCCATATCAACACTAGTGCTTGTCCTCCTTGGGGATCTCCTTTGGTGAAGCTTTTGATTCCAGTTCCTTGGTGATTCTAAGGGAAAATCCATTAAGTCATATTAATGTCTCTTGAGATGCAAGAGAAAGCAGAGGAAATTGTTGCCATGATAATAAACATGAAATTTCATATCACAATTCATTGAGTCCTCAAGATCATACTTAAGTGGTATCTTTTGGATTGTCCAAGTTTGGCCGGGCAACCTTTTTCAACTTTACACCATCATTGGATAACAAATCAATATCGGTCTATTTTTAAAACCATGGACACAAAGGCCAGAACCAAGTAACAGAGTATTACTCTAACCATAAGAATAAGGCTCAATGCTGAAACGCAAGAACAAAAGAAACTAACAATGGAATGAGTATCATCTTAAATATGCCTAGTCAGTAAGATGATCCAATACATCCAAGACATGAAACACTAAACCCTTCAAACCCCCGTCAAATGTACATCTCTCGGGCCTCCTAACTTACTAACCCCCCACTTCTCCAACATCAAGAGAAAATATAAGAAAACTATGGTTCATGATAACATCATAAATTCTCATCCAATCTGAATATAAAGCATATCAAGTGTTGCAATTTGCAATCTGCGGAGAATCACAACCCTTACCCATTTTAAGAATGTAACTAACACAGTAAAGCTGAACCATCTTCATGAAACATTTGCATTCGAATGAACTACCAAAGATTTTACAAAATTGCATCCCTACTATGCAAACATATCAACCATTTTCAGAGTGAAAGTTTTTTTTTTATAGAAGAAAATGAAAAATGAGAAGAGGATTACTTGGGGGCATTGGCAGATTCTTCTTCAAGCCACTTACGGATATGTTTGACATTGCGCCTGAAGATGGTAGCTGATTGCTTCACATCACTCCTCAGCAGAAGAACCACCGCACTTACACCAGCAACAGTGAGTATGAAGTTTGTCAAAGCCATACTTCTTGTGTTTCTTGCAAAACCTACTACCAATACAATGACAGAAATGATTTGGAATGCACTCTGTTAAATGTAGTTCAAAATAATAAAACCAAAGTCTTAGCTAACTTACCCAATAAGTTGAATGATTCACTGAGTATCGGGAATATCACTATCCTTTTTGTACCAAGAAAACTGTATTAAAAACAATAACCAAAAATATGTCCGACATATTAAGAAAATAAAACCCAAGTGAGGATTAGTTAAAATCAAGGTCCAGACTTCATGGTTAACAATTCTTTTCTATTCAAGCAACTTCAAATCTTCAAAGAAACAAACCTCCTGCTTCATTTCGGGTGATTGGGAAATTAACGCATGTATAGTCCCAAGACACAAAACAGCATATGATGATTAAAAGATCAAACTCATTTTATACACATAACAGGGGAAGGGTAGCATTTTCTTTCCTAGAGAATTCACAATGATGTAGGGGCTATATGAAGTTATGAACACTCTCAAATTACACGAACCCATCTAAAAATAGTGCACTCAGAGACAAACTGAAAGAGTAAATTAGCCTCTCAACTGTGTAAACATGGAACCCATAGCCCCTGCCTCAACTGGTTCAGTGTAAACATGGAAAACATGGCCGCTGAAAAACTATTATTATTATTATTTGATGAAACCCTTTACTTGAATGAAATCACATGAAACGACAACAAATCAGCACTAAAATCTAAAATGAATTCAGAAAATTAAGTCTAAATATTAATAAATAAATGGTGGGTAAGAGATTACCAAAGATTTGTTCGTACTGAGAAGAAGAAACTTGGGACTGCTCCTGACAGAATAGCTTCTGGAGAAAACTGAGAGACGGCAGCGCCAAAATGCGGTGGTGGCGAAGAAGAGAGACTTTGTGTATTTACTATTTTGTACATCGTATCGTATTAAAGTGCACCAAGGGTTTTGGATCAAAGTGAATTTTGGGTTTTGGGTCTTTGTGATTAACCATGGATTGTCATTTCAAGGCCCGTTGAGGTTTTTGGTAATGGACCTACGCATGGTTCAAAACCAACCATTATACTTGGATTCTTGGACTATCCAGGAAGTAGGTCAGTTGGCTAGGATTTTGATGATACGGAGAAAGGGGAGACTTTCATTTTTTTTATTTCTAATTATATGTGAAATTTAATGGTTTTTTTTTTTCTCCATTGTTTAAACTCAAAATTATTTTGCATCTATTTTATAGGTAAATTATTATATGTAGATATGATATATGAGAATTGCAAGGGCCTATATCAAAAGAATCCAAATTATTCTGGATTGTGTGGAGGTGCATCATATTTCTTGGGAGAAGAATTTTGCTGCTGATTGCCTTGTTAAATTGAGCTATAATATGGAGTTGGGTGTTTGGTTTTTAGATGAGGCTCCTAGTTGTCTTGATTCCATTTTGATTGATGACTCTTTAGGAGTTGGTCACCCTCGTTTGGTTCGAGTTGTGTAAAAAAGAATCCGAATTATTTCCTTTCTCTATCGAAGTGTTTTGGGGGACCTTCGTAGACATTTGATCAATACTAAAGTAAGTGTAATTTCATGAGGCTTAGGCTACACATAGTTCTTGTGCTATATTATGTTAGCTAGTATTGATCATGTTACATATATGCATATATGATGATATATTCATTAGCCTCTTCTTCTTCTCATATCTTGCCTGCTATCAGGTCTTCTATGACCCAAAATCTCTCTTTTTCGAATAGAGCTGGTGAACAAAAGGCAAGATGCACTTTACTTTAATTTTTATATTTTCCCATTTCTATTGCAGCAAGCTAGATCACCTGTGGAAGGTCCACGTTAAACAAAAAAGGATCTCATGTATGCCAACCAATTCACATTAACAGGGAACAACAAATTAAGCCGGAACAGCCAAACAAATACTAAACAACTAAACCCTCCTCGTACATAATAGATCATATGCAATTTGGTTACAATATTAATATAAATTCATCTATCCACAACGATCAACTTTAAATAAATAATTAATCGTGATTTTTTTCTTAATCATATCCATATAAAACAATACTCACTTTCATCCGTATATAAAACAATACTCACTTTCATCCGTAACCAGTATAACTTTTTTTTTTCTTTTTCAATACAATCGATATCGGGGAATTGAGACATTTTTTACTACCTTCTTGATCGACACCATCCCCTTGTTCGCCATTGATTTCCTCGTAACCCTAGCCATTAAACACTCATCACACCGATACATGTCATGGTCTTTTCCAATATAAACATACAAACCCCATAGCTCTGGACTCTCCTTGGACAACTTTGTCTGTGGAAATTTGGCACCCCACTTTATAATCCCACTCATTATTTCATCATGCAATCTGCCATTATCACATGATCCTCTTTTGATTCCAATCGTCGACAACACCTTAGAAAGAGACTCGTACGACTTGCCGCATTTCCTCAACACAGGCTTCTCAAGTTCAACTATTTTTTCATGTTTTTCTTGATGTTGGTGGACGAGGGTGGTGTTACGACGAGTTCCTATATCATATGAGGAACCAATATCATAGTAGATATGATTGATATGATAGTCAAACTTGATCAGAAATTGAGGCGCCGCAGGCGATGATGAAGAAGGTTGGTAGGCACGTCCTAGCAAGTGTGGTTCAAGGAGTAACACGTAAAAATCCATGCTATCCTTCTCGTGATGGACTTCAAAATCTTCGACTTGCACTGCCATGGCTCAATTAAAGAGAAGTAAAAAATAAAATTTTAGGGTTGATGTACATACGATTAGGGTTTAGGTATATATGTGTGTGTGTTTGAATGTTTTGAACTTTTGAATGCTAGAGAAATTTTAGGGATTTCAAAAAAATTGAAATCCATAATAATTGAAAGGCTATAATTTTGGGATTGTTTATGAAAAATCGGTGGGTAGCAAAAATGATAGGGTTTCGTAAATAAGTGGACTTGTTACATCTGAAATCTACCCTTTTTCCTTTCTTCCTTTTATGAACAAAGAAAAATAAATATTTTTATCAGAAATGTGTGGGTGGTGGGAATGAAGATAAGAAAGAATCTACAGTTTCAATCAAAAAAGAGTCAAAGAAGATTGCATTAAGTAACTAACGTGTAAAATCTTGCCAAATAAAAGGGGATGTGAGATAATGGTTTCGGAATCAATGGCTTTAGTTTTGGGGTATGTTATCCAATTCCCACCACAACGACCGCACCAAACTTCGGTGCTTTCTTGTCCCACAAATATCTATTATAATATTTCCATGCTATGATGATATATCAGAAGAAGAAGAAAGGATTATTTCAAGCAACCCTTGGTCAATCTCAATTTGTAACATAATAATATATGTAACTTACAATCCCGAGTTTCTGCATTTAAAGATGATGCATTTACTCGCATTTCATAAAATTTACACCATCTACTTAATCCAATGTTCATGAGTATTCCACATCACCTACAATGAGTTTATTTCCTTTATATATAAAACCGACGCCATTTACCTCTGTCTTCCTGTCCCCTCTCAACTCATCTCTCCCTCGTTTCTTCCTGTGTGTCCTTGTAACCTGGTTTTTTTTTTCCTTTGGCTTCTTCTTTACTTTAATGTATAGTAATTGAAGAGGGTACCCCAGGATTGGAGAAAATTAAACAACCAAGCCCATTTGTCAATCAAAATATATAGCAATCAGTTGGCTATCGGCTGATGACTACAATATCAAACAATTGAAGCTGTGTATTTGGAATTTGATAGACTTGCAATGACTTTGTGCTTTTCTTCTCGACTTTTAAAGCCATTTCGGGACTGTTTTATTTATTTATAGAAATCAATGTTGTATAATCTAGCTATTAGAGGATAATATGGTAAATTCATACTTTTTTATATTTAAAAAAATTAAAAATTAAAGAAAAATCAGATAATGGATTCTATTTTTATGAAACACAACTACCCATTATCTTTTTTAATTCTAAAATAAATTTAATTTTTTTTAAAAAAAATCTCTCGCAGGCGAATAGACTAGTAAGACATGACGAGAAGACGAGTGAGAGAGTTGACGGCGTTAGTTTATAGAAAAAGGAAACAAACTTATTGTAGGGGATGTGGCATACTCAGGATTAATTGGATGGTCTATATTTTATGAAATACGAGTAAATGCACAATTCCTAAATGCAGAAACTCGGAATCCGTAACTTAAATAAAAGTAGAGGATGCTTCTTGCTCCATCACATTTTGAGCCACATTTTACACTAAACGAAAACTCTTAATATTTATATTTTCCAAAAGTTCAATCCTATATAATGTGAGAGTTTAAGTTCAAATAACGTATAAAATACTCTATTTTGCAAACATATTATTTAAGTATTAAACACAAACAAACACAAGCGAAATTGAGATTTTTAATCAAGGTGGTTGGTGTGAGTGGTTTGGCACTCTCATTCCTTAAAAGAGGTCAGGGGTTCGATCCCTGCTCTCGTACGGAGTCACCACTTTGGCTAACATTTTACCCCTTACGGGCTGACCCGGTGTGAGTGGGGATTAGTCTGGGTTGTGGTTAAGGCTTAAAGGTGCCACCCATAGTTGAAGCCCATCCAGTACCACCTCATGGTTCAGACAAAAAAAAATTGAGATCTTTATATTATTTAATAATTTGATTTGATTTAATAAGACCAGTTGGTGATTATCTATTCCATGTCCGTACATCAAAATGTCCAATTAAAAAACAACTCATGGATATTGAATTAATAGGATCGAAAAGAAAGTAGTTGGTTGGTTGTCTCCGAATCTCATGCCTGTTCCATCCAACAAACAACTTGATGATTCAGTGTGGGCCCAGCCCATAACTTACTAGTGGGGCCCTTGATTCATCACGGGTTTGGGTTCGGTCATCGTGGAATCTGGACACCTGGTCCCTCGTAAAGGACACACCAAAAAAAAAAAAGAAAAAAAAAGTAAGCATACGCGGCATCATCCTTGATTGAACCCTCCAAGTGGCAGAATCCCAGATGCCCAATTCTGTCAAAACCTTAATGTGACCTAAACTATTCATAAATAAATCACTTTGAAAAAAATGTATTCATAAATATTTGGTTACTTACTTGCCCACCGGACTACCTTTTTTATTTAGGGATATATAAAAAGGAAAATTAGGTATTAGATATAATTAACTTTATTAATTAGTATTTGAGACATTGGGTATTTTAGTTTGGGTTTTAATACCTATAAAAGAATTGTTATTTTGGATTAAGCCAAAGAGGAGGCTCAGATTCGTTGGCCCACCTTATATTAATCACTGAAAAGACAATTATATCCTTTTTATTAAAATATTTATTGGTCTCCTTTTTTTTTATCAGATTAGATCTCTTTCTCTCTCTCTCTCTCTCTCTCTCTCTCTCTCTCTCCGCAGCAACGACGACCATAGCCTTCACTTGCGGCTGCGATGGAATTCTCAAGTTGCTCATCCCTTCGACCTTCGCCGGTAACTCCAAGGTCGTGGTGGGACTGGTTGAGCCTCATGTGGTCCCGGATTTTCTCAGAGATTTGGAGTCCAAGCGTTGGGTTCCAGTTAGGGTTAATGCGTACGAGACGCGGTGGGCCGGACCGGGGTGCGCTAAGCAAGTGGTGGAGAGGATTGAGGAGGGAGCGTTGGATGCGATGGTGTTCACGAGCACTGCGGAGGTGGAGGGCTTACTGAAGAGCTTCAAGGAGTTTGATAGGATGTAATTACACAGAAAATAGCTTTTATCTTCGTTGAAATTATAGAATGTTTATTAGAATTTACTGGAAAATTTTGAGATTCTCAACTCTTGTGTATCAAATCCTTCGATTGAGGTATGGTTTTCTAGCTATTTTCCACGATCTAGCTGTTAGTTGAGTAAGATTTCATAAATTTTGAGGTTTAATTGGTTAATTTCGGAGTTATTTTCCAC